GTTCGGTGGTCTTCCTTAAGTGTTGAGTTCTTTGCTCAGAATGTCTCAAAGCCAGCTAGTTTACCAGCCCAGTGTCTTTGTCTATGTGGAAACGAGACGAAGGTGTTGGAGGAGGGGGCCCGCTTGTTCGTCCCAGCCGCCCGGCTAGCTTAGCCCTGAAATAACCACACAGAAACTGTATTAATTAAATCACTGCTTGGCCCATTAGCTCTTGCTTCTTATTGGCTAGCTCTTACGTATTAGTTTAACCCGTTTCTATTAATCTGTGTATCGTCATGAGGCTGTGGCTTACGGGGTAAAATTCCCAGTGTCTGTCTCTGGTGACTCCATGGCGTCTCTCGACTCTGCCCCTCTTCCTCTCAGCATTCAGTTCCGTCTTCCCTGCCTACCTAAGTTCTGCCCTATCGACAGGCCAAGGCAGTTTCTTTATTCATCAATGACAATCACAGCACACAGAGAGGACTCCCACATCACAAAGGTATTATGATAACCTTGTGAAGTGATTCATATGTGTACACTTCGGGCATCTAACAGATGCCTCTTCCTTCCCTTGTGTTTATTGCAGGGCAGACATCCCACATCTTACAGATGCAGTAAGGTGACACAGGGCAGGCATCCCCCATCTTACAGATGCAGTGAGGTGACGCAGTCCTGCGGTTTACCAAAGTCCTCTTTATAGCTAAATGAAGCAACAGATTAGACTCAACAGCTCTTGACCTTCTACCCCGTGTTTCTGACATCATATAATGTGAACTTAATATCTGTTTACCAAAGTCTGGAGATAGTTAGTGGGTTCTGTGTTTCAAGAAAAGTCAAGAGACTGAACAGAATGGGTACATGGTAGTCAACTTTTAAAATTTTCTCTCCCTTGATCCCCTCCTACCCTGTGTGTAAGTTAAGGGGGGTACCTATGTTGGTTAGGATAACCTATGTCGCTGGTCCTCACTTTCCACCTTCTTAGAGATGTGTTCACTGCATCACATACCACACTAGTTAGCCCGTGAGCCTTTGGTTTTTGTCCATGTCTGCCTCCCATCTTGCTGTGGGAGCACTGGATAGCAGAGGCAGGTGGTGCTGTCAGCTTTACATCGGTTCCGGGATCTGAAATTGGGTCTCACACCAGAGGAGTCAGTCTTTTATCCACCGAGGCATTTCCCCAGCCTTTCCACACTTTCATTGGCATGTAGCTTGGTTGTAGACACAGAGCAGGGACTTTCCAAACGAATGGTTGCTAGAACTTGTAAAATTACCTTGCCAAAAAGCCAGAGCTGGTTCCTGATTGGTTATAGACATAATTTTTAATTTATCAGTATAAATACATTTTAAAAAATTTTCTTAATTCTATGCAATGAAATTATACATAATGCCAAAAGTTTGGCTGGCCCTCTTTTGTACTCATTTTTATACCACATAAACAAAAGCAGAAATTTGGGGATATTTTTCTAGCTTTTTAGAAACTAAACAAATAAAATAAAATACACACACATGAAAAATTTCAGACTAAAAGATAATGAGAATTTATTAACTTATGTAGAAATTTTACAAGTATTTCTCTTTAATTATATCTACTTGTCTGTGTTTGTGTGGAGTTGTGTGCAAGTGAGTGCAGGTGCCTGTCCTGAAAAACCAAAAGAAGAAGAAGAAGAAGAAGGAGAAGGAGAAGGAGGAGAAGGAGAGGAAGAAGAAGAGGAAAGCAAAAAAAAACCAAAACAAAAACCAGTCACCTGAGGGTTCTTACTCTAATCTTGGGCACAATGAGAGCTTCACAACTGGTGAGGTTAAAATACCAGCAGGTGGGAAAGGTTGTTTCTAGAAGGTGTTACACTTGGGTGACTGGAATGGTCTTTTCCTCCATCATGGCGGTGTATGGTTCAAGAGAACCTGGGAAATGCATAATCTTAAACTCTCCCAATGTTATATGCGCCTTGTTTTAGAGCCATCCTCACAGGGAAGCATCTGGGTTTGGATTAAAGAGTAAAGTGCATTACAAAGAGAGATTACCAGTTCCTTTGTGGCTCTGTCCCTATCGATGACAGGCTGTCTGGAAAGTATCCCGCTTATTTCCTGCATTTAATTTGTCATCAGTAAGCGATATAGCCACGAGAGCCATAAGGGTCATTTCTTTGTGATGATGCAGCTCAAGCAGGACAGAGGAGTCCTTGCTTTGGCTCCTCCACCAGATGTCTGTTACAGGAAGGGGGTGCACCAAGTTCAGCAGAGTGACCAAGGACAAGCTGTCCGCAGACAGCCTGTTACCCGGGGACCCTGCACTGGAGTGCATCCTCCTGCAGCAGGCCCTCCTTTCTTCTCTGTGAGTCCCTCCTCCTTCCTGACTCTGTTCTCTCCCTCACCTTTTTTTAACCCTTTATCTCTTTGTTTGCTATTTAAGGGGAATGTAATTATAACAGAAGTTATAATTTCTTCCCAGGTGGAACTCACAATAAATTTAGGGAGCTAAAAACTTGCCGTCTAGAAGGCCATGTGACCTTGGGGAGCCAGCCTCTGTACTTGAGGGTGAGGAGCAGTCAGCAGAGTGACTTACCAGAGCTGGGGTGACAGGGAAGTTTCTACAGTCGGCCCACTTGCCTGCTTTCCTGCCAGCTCCAGCACAAGTCATTTCAGGCCTCCCCATTGGGTCGAAGATGCCTTTGTGTTTTATCCACAGAAGCATATTCCAGCTTCCTCTTTTAAAAACAGAAGACCCAAGCCGCTTGACTCCCACCTATGTTCTTGGTTCACTTTGCCTCCATTTTTGTTGGGTTACTGTATGTCTCTATGACAAACACCTTCACATCCTCGCCAAAGGGACAGATTATATAAACACAAAACAAAAAATCCAGGATAGAATTTCTGTCCTAATGGCTCCTTTGACCCCTTTCTACTTTCTTCTTACTCTCCTCAGGAAGCCTGGTCACAGTCCGGGTACAGAACACAGGGAAGCTGCTTTGTTTGGAGTGCATTATGAACTAAGCTTATGAATGTGAGGCCTTTGTTATTTGGATTACTATATCGAATGACTATCATGAAGATGATTAAAACACTAAAATTGCAGCTTGTGTGGCCCGGAGATAAGTTTTGGACGCTCCAGACAGCGGCGGCCCTGGCAGTGTGCTCACCGATTCTGGGGTGGGTGTTCTGTCTTTTCAGGGCCTCCTATGTAGTGCGGTGTGGAGGAACATGTATGTTCCGTGACTGTGGGGGGAATATCATACTGCTGCACGTGTAAAGAGCAAGTGTGGAAGCTAGCCCGAGCATCTGTAATTGAGCAAGGGTGTGGGGTGGGAGGGGACAGCAAGATCTTTCTCAGAACTCACATAATCACCACGGTTTATGCTCTTTCTTCCTTTGACAGATCTGCATTTCCTTTGGCGTTCATGTCCGCCTGAAGAATTGCCCTTAACAATTCCCGTCAGGCAGTTTTACTGTTGATGAATGATTTCAGCTTGTTTGTCTTCGCTTTACCTTTGTATTTGAAAGCTATACTCACTGAGTGTGTAATTTAGGTTGACAGATGCTTTTATCTTTTGGTGCCTGACAGGGGCCGCCCTATTGTCTCTTGGGTTCCTTGTTGACCAGAAGTTAGCTGCCATTCTGTCTTTGTTCCTCTGTGCTTTATCTGTGGGCTTCATGGCTTCTGCTTATCACTGATTTTAAGCAGATTTGGTACTCTGTAGTGATGCTAGGTGCAGCTGTATTTGGGTTGCTGTCTTTGGATGGCTGAAGCTTCCTGACACTAAAGGTTTAGTTGGTTAAAAAAAAAAAAAAAGTTTAGATGTTTTCAGCCATTGTTTCTTCAAGTAAACTTCGACCCTCACCCCACTTTTGGGACTCTATTTGCACAGGTGTTAGGGTGAGGGGATGGCCTCACAGTTCGCTAGTGCTCTGTTTATTTCCCCAGTATTTCTTCCCTGACATTATGAAAACATTCGGAGATACAAACCTCTAAAAGCTTCGCTAGTACCCTTTGTACCTCCCTGGTTACTCTTTACCGTTAACCCTACCATTTAACTTTTGATCTCAAGGGATAGGGTGTTGATAGCAACTTTAATGCCCTTGTCTGCTAATTCTGTCGTCCAGAGCATTTCTGATTATTCTCGACTTGTTTTCTCAGAATGGCTCCTATTTTCCCTTTCTGTTGCTCTTGTCTGAAGCAGTTCTCTGACCCTCTTTGAAGTAAGTATTTTTATATAGTTAAGTTGGCTCAAGTGAAGTTACTAGAGTGACTTCAATCCAGTAGGACTACATCCTTATTAAAAGGGAAACGGCAGGTGTGCAGGCTTAGATGTGTGAGCCTCACAAAGACATGTCAGCTCTGCTGGAGGTTGGCCCTGAACTTCTAGCCTTCAGAACTGAGACAACACACTTTGGTTGTTTCTTCTAGTGAACTAATGCACTGGTAAGTATTTTGATTTGTTTTTTCGAGACAGGGTTTCTCTGTGTAGCTTTGGAGCCTGTTCTGGAACTTGCTCTTTAGACCAGGCTGGCCTCGAACTCATAGAGATCCACCTGTCTCTGCATCCCGAGTGCTGGGGCTAAAGGTGTGCACCACCACTGCCCGGCTACACTGGTAAGTATTAATTATATGTAGACATGGCAACTTTTGACTTGTTAAGAGCTAGTTATTTGGGAATTATTTTAAATAGTTTGATCCTCTCAGTTTTGCCTTTATATTAACATTTTAATTTATTTTTCTACATTTGCTTATTTGTGTGTGTGGGTGTAGAGGTCAGAGGACAGCTTAAGGGCAATGGGGTCTGGAGACTGAAATCATATCTCCACAACAGATAAGAATGGCTACTACTCAGCATGGCTATCAGTCCCTGGAGATGGACAAGAGACTGGGAAAGGTACAGTTATACAGGGAAGAATGGCTGGGCTTCTCAGCAACTGTGCTGAATCTCTGGCAGACCTAAGAGCAAATTTTACAGCTGGCTGACTTGCTCTGCTGGTGTTAATTATCAATAGGTATTCCTGGGCGACCACTGCTCGTCCAGATAGCCAGGGTTCAGAACGAAGCAAGGAATGGCTCCGAGAACCAGTCACCATCACGGTAGGAGAGCTAGATATAGTCTACAGAGGTCATTAAGGCTGACAGGAGTTGGACGTGGAATTTCTGAGGGCATGGTGCTCACACATGTGATGAACCCTCTAAAAACAGACTTTGCTTAGTCTCGATCCCATCTGAAGACTTGGCATTGGCTCTTTCTTCTTCTGGAATGCGTGCACTTGCTTCTCAGTGTTCAAGTGTCCGCTAAATGTCAACTTAGGGAGGTCTTCACTGATGACCAAGTCGACTGATTTTCCCTCTGCTTCATGTTCTCTCACATGTGTAATCCCGCAGATTTTCTTGGAAGCATTTAAGCTCATCCGTAACTGAACGCTCATTCGTGTCTTGCCTACAACCCCAAATTGACTAAGCACCTCGAGCAAAGAGATGCTGTTCTTCTGCTCACCACGGTCTTCAATAAATGAAGAAAATTCAATAAATGCTTGAAGAATGACTAAGTGAAGCCGCCTGCACCTTATGTGAGCTGTGGGAACATGCCACAAGTAGAGGCTCTACATCTGACGCCAAGAGGTTGTTTCCACGCTTGTTAGAGAAAGAACAGGAAGCAAGAAAAGGTAGAGGCTATACTTCCGACACCATGAGTTCGTTTCACGTTTGTTAGAAAAAGTACAGGGAAATGTTTTGAAATTTCCGCCTGCATGGTGTCCTTGGGTCTGCGAGAGTATGAATGAGAGTGAGTGGCTAATCCACGGGAGCTCACTATAAATCGGCAGAGATTGGAGCAGGAAGCAGAGATGGCTTCGTGTAAAGTGATCTTTGTTGTTTCCTGTCAGAACAGATAAGCACGGTGTTGTTTATACTCGGAACCAGAATAACCTTTTGGTTTTTATTCTCTGGATTACATCTTTATAAATTCAGAGAAGGGACTATCCCTGTAAAATCAGGTTTGTGGAGACATTGGAGGTGTGGAGACATTTTTCAGCGTACTTTGTGGAGTTTGGATCACCAACTGTTTTTATTTTTTAATTTTTTTGACCAGATAATATAAATGAGGAAAGTATAAGTTTTGTTTCTGTAGGTTTTATTTCTCATGAAAACATTGTCTTTACAAATTAATAATGTACCGTGCAGAGAAACTTGTGAGAAACTTGTTTCAGACTGAATACAGAATCTAGGAAATTTCGGCAGTGCAGGCTGTTAGAAACACACTGTCCAAGTTTGGATCTTGGTTTTACCTCTTGTAAACTTTCTAATCCTCAGCTTCCCCACTTATGAACCGGAGCTATGGGGGTAGCTCCTGATTTTCTTGTGACCTTTAAATGGGTTACTTCACATTTTTTTTTGTTTTACTTTTCTTAAAGATGGAACTGACGACCTAGCAACTGGATGCTGTGGAGTCGAATGTCCAGGGCTGTTAAAGTAAGTGTGCAAAGTAAGAGGAAGACAGAACCCGAGTAGCATCTCCGTCTTGAGGCCTGGAGAGGCTCACATGAAAGCTGAGGTAGTGTGTCAGTCCTCAGTTGTGGAGTGGGAGCGTCATAGACCTGGAGGATAAGTCTTGGACTTGAGGTTGTCATGAACCCGAGAAACCCACAAGGCTCAGAGTGCTGCCAGGTGGGGTTGGAAAATGCCTCATTAGCACTGCATGAGGGTTTATTATGGCCCCTTTAGTGGGTGATGCTTTCCTCTGTCTCCTCTGTGCTTCCTCCTTTCAGAGACCAAGTTGGAACTTGAGATGGGGTGTCAAAGAAAGCCATAAAATCAGATAGGCATCCTCCACTTGGACCTAGATAAAACACACCTTCTGGCCGTGTGAGGCTTATTTGCCCCCAGCCAAATGAGCTTACAAGAGGCTTTTTAAATCACAGGCTCCGGAACTCTTTAGAAGTTTTCTAATGAGCGGGGAGTGGTAACTGGACAGCAGTAGTACAGTAGGCAGAATTGCTCATTTAAGCAGCTCCAACATGACATCACTGCTGTTTCTATTTAGAGAGTTGGGCTATGGTTTTCTTTTACTGAATTTAACACAATTCAGGGTTAATAATGCTCTGAGTTTCCCAATCTGAGCTTTTCCTTGTGCCCGAGGTCTCTCAGCTCCTATCAGAGTTTAGCAGGCTTACCGGTTTTACACGTTTGTCTCCACAACCAGAATGTTGGCAAGTCAATAAAAAAAAAAAAATTACAACCCTACCATAAGAATAGCGAGTAGGGCTGGAGAGATGGCTCTGTAGTTGAGAATGTACACTTTTCACAGAGGACCTGGGTTTGCTTCCCAGCATCCACATTGGGTGGATCACAACTTCAGCTTCAGGGGATCCAGGGTCCCCTGGCCTCCTCAGGTACCTGCGCTCATAGCAACCCCTACAAATACATAAAGAAAACATTTAAAAATAAACTTAAACAGTAAATGGAACAGAGCCAAAGTGTACGTGTAAATAATCCTGCTAAGCCATGCGTGGCAACATACGTAGATGCTTCAGGCCTCCGCGAGTCATCGCCTGAAGCAGCCTGACCCTGCTAGATAGTCTACTAACCAAGGAGGTGAGGTGGCTTGGGGCCTGTCCCTTAAGCAGCCCTTGAATGCTGGTCAGTTAAGGCCTCTTTAACTTGAGTGGAACTTTCCACTTAATAAGAAGACATCTGTGAGCCATGGAATGGGCTTTTTTTTTGCCACTGGGCTCCTCACATAGAACACTGGGGCTTGTTTTAAATTGTATGCATTCATGACTTTGTAAACCAGTGAACTGAATAATTCCACAAAGTCCTGTGGGTTTGCCCCCAGAGAAAACTTCTCTAAGTTCAGCTTCAGTAATTTTTTTTTTAATGCTATCTAGGGGAGTCAGGTATGTGTTCCATCACAGACTGTCCACTCTTTAACTGAGTTCCCAGAGGCACCTCCAACCAGTGTCTTCTTGAACCGTTGAACAGTCAAACAATACTGCCTTGGAATGTCGAATGTCCTTTCTCCTCAGCCGGATTCAGTTCTAAAGCTATGTGTTCTGGAGCTCCCAAAGGTGTCTATAATGATATCTGCTGTCCAGACTGCACAGCCAAACAGTCTGGGTCAGGGACTAAGCCTGCCTTTCTGATTGATTTGGGCTCTCCCCCAGGCACAGGGCTTAGCTCTAGGACAGGCTTAGGAAGTTGCGCCACAGACTAAGCCGTTGAGGGCCAGGGAAACATGGCTGGCTTGTGGTGTGAGTATTGCTTGCACAAAAGGAATGAAGAGTTTTTAGCTCTCTAGGAACTTTGAAAGTGCTGGGCCTAGAGACTAGGGAAATCTGGGGCTTGAACATCGAAGAGACAGCTGGAGGGTCAGAACATGAAGGCGAGGGGGAAGGAAGACAAGGACGGTGTGGGGTTCTAACTGTTGCTCTTGTGAGAGTTTTATTGAAAGGCCAGCTCATTTTATACCAGGCATCTCCTGTCAACGTTTTGGGTGAGAAATTTGGTTCATACGCTCATGTCTCATGTTCAGAGCATTTCTGTGTATTGCTTATTCTTGTAGTTGAATTCCATTCCTTCATTCACTGGTTGGTTCATAAAGCAGATGTCTGAGGACAAACTATAGAGCTCATGAAGATTTTAGTAACTGGATATATCTTGTGAACTACAGTAACCTAATTTTAAATGCTTACATTTTCCTCTCTGCAATATAAGCCTGGTCATTTGAGCTCGGTCCTTGGCTGATTTAGCAGGCGTGAGGATTTATACGGCGGTGTTGCCTACTGAGCACGCTTTGCTGATGATAGTTTCAGCAAAGCCCTTTCAGATTTTCTATATTAAGTTACAGGAAGGGTTTGCTTTTTTTCCCCATCTTGATCAAATTCTTTCCGTCTGCCACCTCCACCTCGCTGAGCTGTTACAGGGAGTAACTGGCTGGGAACACAAGGTACAAGAGGTTGCTTTCATGTCGAACTAATCTTTAACAAATTCTGAGCAAGAAGATTAAAGGCAAAGCAGAAAATGACCTTTTCCCCAGCATCATGGTCTTTTAGTTCTGTATTAGACAGACACAAACAAAGGATTTTTACTCAAACCTAAAGTGTTTCATGTGAGTTCAGGCATAATATATACAGTGGATATATGGAGGCTGCCTCAGGTCCTGCTGGTCATATACACAGAGCTGAAGATCACACACAAATAAACAAGTGCCATCATTTCAGAGTTTTTATTTTTATTTTTATTTCTGGGTCACTAGGAGGCCTTGGTAAATAATGCCAACTGTTTTCATAGTAATGGGCCTTGCTCTGGGAGCATGGGTATCATCTGGATTACACTGGCACTGGCAAAATCCAGTTAATGACAGTTGGATGCTAGCCAGTGTTTCAAATTACCAGTCAAGTGGAATTGATATAATTCAAAATAGCAGGTTAGCTGCTAGCAAGGAGCATAAGGAGAAGGTTAAGATGAGTTCCACGACTCATGGGAAGTCCTTCTGTCTATATTTTGCTTTTATTGGTTAATGAATAAAGCTGTTTTGACCAGTGGCGTAGCAGAACAGGGTAAGGTGGGAATTCCAAGCAGATAGGTGAGGAGAAAGAAGGTGGAGTCAAGAGAAGCCATGTAGTCACTGCCAGTGATAGACAGATGCACTGGAACCTTGCTGGTATGCCACAGACACATGGTGATACACAAAATAATGGAAATGGGTCAGTTTAAGATATAAGAGTTAGCCAGAAATACACTTAAGAGACTGGCCAAACAGTTTTGTAAATAATATGGTTTCTATGTGATTATTGCATGGTCTGTGAAGCTGGGAATGAACGAGCAGCCTCCTACTACATCTTATTTTTATGTATTTGTTTATTTATTTTGGAGGCAGGGTTTCTCTGTGTAACCCTGGCTGTCCTGGAACTTACTCTAGAGACCAGGCTGGCCTCCAACTCACAGAGACTCGCCTACCTCCGCCTCCCAAGTATTGGATTTAAAAGCGTGCCCCACCACAGCCCCACCCCATGGTCCTGATGCGCTGGAAGCACTTCCATTCATTGACTTCTGGCTAATTCTGGTGCCCTGAGATCTCTGTCCTGAGACTCTCACAAAGAAGGGCTTCCTCGATTCTTCTACACTGGGTCTTAGCCGAAAAGATTGGGAAGTGATTTTTCCCACTCTCTTCCCTATGTTTCTTTGTTTTGTTTTGTTTTTTGGTGTTTTGTTTTTTCGAGACAGGGTTTCTCTGCGTAAGAGCCCTAACCATACTGGAACTCGCTCTGTAGACCAGGCTGGCCTCCAACTCACAGAGACCCACCTGCCTCTGCCTCCTGCGTGCTGTGATTAAAGGTGAGCGCCACCACCTCCCAGCTCCCCATGTTACTACTGTTCCTTGTGCTTGAGTCTATCGGAAAATTAATGGCACTGCGTTGCTCTCTCTAATCTCTTTCGATGACTTCCTTTCTCCCTCTGTCTTTTTCATTATGGAACTCTTTCATCATTGTTGAGACTATGTAATGCCTCTGGCCGAGAGGAGCATGCATGACAGGTCACTTTCTGACTCTAGGTTAATTCAGGTTCGTCCGGTCTTCTTTACCAGGGCACCTAAAATATGCTCACACATGATTTCCTAGCCATTTAAATAAAGCTGAAATGTTTTTATGAGGATGTTTTGGTTTCACAGTCCAAAACCATGACATACCTCTTTAAACATGTTATACGGTTTTCTTCATCTCTCTTTGTTTCTCATCCTGTCTGGTCATTTGGTGGCAGTCTCCTGGCCTCACGTTGGCCTTCCTTTCTTCCCTTCTATTCTGCTTCTCCGGCTCTCCTAGGGCCTTCAGAAACTCTTTTCCGTTGTTTATTTTCTTCATTTGCTCTCATTTGTCTTTCATTTGGTTGATATATAAGTTAGGACTATGCTAAATGTATATATTAGAAAAATCTTACATCTGTTTTTAAAGATATTGAAATGTATTCAAAATGAGGGACCAGAAGTCCTGCTTAGTTTTTTTTTCTTTCTAGCAAAAATAGGAGTAATTTGACCTAAGAGACAGGCAACTACAGGGGGGAAAATCTCTTTTGAGCCCGACAACCCATCAAATCTGAGAAGCCTATTAGATATTTCATGGAAGCATTCAGATGAATCTGTAGCTGGGAGGAGTATCCTGAAAGGGACAGTGAGCCCCCTTTTACATTCCTGAGCCCCACCCACCGCATGACTTGGTGCCTAATAAGTACATATTTGATGAGCGATTGATTAGTCTGCACGTGTTTAATGAGGCTCCCGAGATGCACTGAGGACATAGCAGTGAACAGTAGAGCTAAGATCCTCACCTTCACGGAACTTCGAATGAATGGAGAAAATGTGTATCTATACACCTAGGCATTAAAGTGGAATTCTCTAGCCAGACTATAAACGCAGCATCTGGGGGGCGTCAAATACGGAGTATTTTGTGAACTAATACCTTTTGCTTCTTTCTCCT